ATATTCATTATAAAATCTGAAGACTTCAGATTTTTTTTTGGGGGGTGGTGTGTGTGTGTGTGTAAATAAATTTTTATTATGTTTAAAAACTCGTTCCTAAGTGAGGACTTTCTAAGGGAAAACTGGCTCCTATACACGTTACACATGGGGAAAGCCACGAAAACGCCGGCCAGCTCGTTCGCGGGATTCGAACCTCGGACCAAACTACCTGCGTTCAGCGACTCTACCGCTCGGCGGCTGGTGGGCTTGTTAGTAGAATTATTATTGCATTATGCTATAAAGTAATAATGCTATAAGACTGAGGGGTTTTCTTCATGGAATAGTACTTTTGTAACCTATTATAGTATTCAAAAATCATTGTTTCTTTGCAAACGTTAAAAAAAAAATTACTGTTCATAGCATTCTTATTTTTACATTGATTATTATTAGTTTTCTATTTAAAATGTGTCGAAACGCTGGTTTGACAAGGACTTCAACTGCAGGAGACCTACACTGATTATTTTTACTTTAGTACCTGCATTGTGAAAATATTACTTCTTTTAATTATTTTCAGAATAAAATCTTCGAGAAGAAGAATATTTAAACTGAGCAAGCAGTTCTTATATATATATAAAATTAAAATAACAGCAATGTAATATTAAAAAAAAGGTATTAGTAATTGTGTGACAAAATTGCAAAACGAATTAATCACACATACAGGATATATTAGTTTAATTTTGGTTATATATTTATATTGAAAATATTTTCTTTCATGTTAATTATAGAATAAATTATTTAAAATAAAGCATTTTGATGCGTGTGTGATAGTTGATGCAGCAGCAATCGGCCATAGTGAATGAATTTTTTTCTTTTCCTGAAAGAAATAATTTTCATAGAAAAATAAAATAAAAAAAGGGAAGAAATATTAAGAAAGAAATAATTTATTATTTAAAGAGATATTTTTCCAATAGTAACTGTAAAATAAATTGCGGGAAAACAGTTTTAATGTAAGCATGGGGAGGGGGAAACTTAGTTTGCTATTAGACTGTAATGCAAATTAATCATATTATAAATTTAAATGATTAAAATTGTTTATTTCTAAAAGGATTTGAAGTAAGCTTAATTCATCTACTCTTATCTATTTACCATTGCTTTCGTGGTATCCCATATCACTCTTTATTTCTTAGCTCTAAATTCCTGCGTTAACTTTCCCCTTAAAAAACGGGATTTTCCTTCACATAAGACAGCAGCATATTCTGCTGCATAATACTGTTTTGTGCAATTTTTTTCGAATTACAAATACAGCGTGTGAGTTAGTGAAATAATGGGAGAATATTCCTAGAACTTCAGCCAGCGCGCACTATAAATTTCGTCACTCGTCTGTACTGCGATTGGTCTAAAGCTCCTTGAAGCCTTGTCCTCTTTCAGTAAAGTCAAATGGACCCACCCGCCCACCAACTGAGGACCACAGAATGGCTTTCTCCGATAAGTTGTGACGGCTGTCTATACCGGTTTTTTTGAGTCAATATTGTTCGCTTAAGTTGTAGACAGATCCAGTGACCATAGAATAGGCGTCCTGGACACATTCGATACTCATGAGATGTTCCACATTTAGAACAAACTTTTGTCTTTTGTTTATTGGTATTTACCTCTTTGTAGGTATTCTTATTATGTTTACTTAGTTTCTTTTTCACTAAGTTTACAGCAGTTTCCTCATCTTTTATGATTTTCATTTGATGTGCACTTATTTCAGCAGATCTGCATATATCAAGAGCTTTTTCTAATGTTAATTCTGTTTCATGTAACATTCTTGCTCTCATTACATCATCTTTAATACCACAAACAATTTTATTTTTTATTAAACTATCCGTTAATTGTGCAAACTCGCATGTTCCGCTTTAGGTGCTACTTTGGTAGACGGTTGCATGGATTTTGACGATTTTCCTTTGGCGAGTAATACAACTTATGGTAAACCCATTGCTGGATAAGTTATTTATGGTAACCGATACTTTGTTGTCATTTTATTTAAAAAATAGTGCGTTTTTCTGTGCATAAATTCCGTGTTTAGAATATTATTTATGGCTTTTAAATATTAAAAATCAATTTAATTTTGCATTTTTATTTGAAATAAAAATTTTATTGTTTATCATATTTTATGAAATTTTATGTTGTGGATGATGTAATCAATGACGTCACCTTACTTTAAAAGTAGTTCGTTTTAATATGTATAAATTTAATCTAATGTTTTAAACATTATTTATGGCTCTTAAATATTAAAATACAATTTAATTTTGCATTTTTTTAAAAATGATTTTATTATGTATGAATTTTTAAATAATTTTAATTCTAGCCGTGATGTATTCAGCTCCCTGATTGTGCATTTCCGCGCCGTTTTAAAATTTAATTTATATCTTCGAATTCCTTCAAAGATGTTATCTAAATTATAATTCTGATTTTTTTATTGTGTGTACTTATCGATAGACAATAGGTTAAACACTCAAAAAATGTAAGTACAATATTTTTTCTTTTATTTTATAATGTATACTTCAATTTTTGTTAAAAAATTAATACACTATTTTCAGAAATTGCTGAGATAATTATGTCCATATGTTTTAATGTTAATTATATTCTATATAACGTATTTTTAAAGTATTTGAATTTAATAATATTCTAATTCTTTTAAATGTTGGTATGATGGTTTTTAATTCGATATTCAATTTCAGTAATATTTTAATCTAATTAAACGTTGGCCCAATGTTTTTATTCTCTTCTTTGCTATATGAAAGTAATAATAACCTTACTTTAGTATTTTATACTCAAAGTAAATGTATTTATTTACACTTGCCTGCCATCTTAAAAAATGACATTTTCAACAAAAAATTAATCCATTACTTTTAACTATATTTATTTATTTATTTTTTAAGTTTCGAATACTTTACTATGCGTAAAAACAGCGTTTTTCAAGTTGGCTGACGTTTGTAAAAATCGCTCCAACAATTCGGCCAACGTAAATCGCCAAAAATCCGTGCAACCGTCTACCAAAGTAGCACCTAGCTTTATTTCGAAGGTCAGTTACGTATTCATTTATCGTTTCTGACGCGGTTTGATTTCTAGTAAAGAATAAATGCCTTTCATATGTAATATTTTTCTTACGAATACAATATTCCATAAATTTTGTTTTAATTTCACTTAATTTTAATTTCTGTTACCCTCTTCTATAGGAAATGTATTATATATTTCAAGACCACGAATTCATATTACATGAAGAAAAGTATTAACTCTTATCTTCTCTTCTTTATTATGTGAATCCACTTAGCTACTTCATATATTTCAAATGATTGGCAGCCATCTCTGCCAATTCGAAGCTAGATTTCCATCAAATTTCATCGGCTCTGGTGGTTTTAAACTTTCCATTTCGAAAGCTAAATTTTCCTGACAGTATATATAATATTAAGATGGTACGCTTTTAGAAACTATTTATTTATTTACAATCTAAGAATGTATAATCACAGAGAACTGCAATACCAGCATAGTTCTATTTTTTAAATCTGTATTCAAAGTGTTGCCAGTTACAAGTTACTAAATATTAAATGTTACCATTTACAAATTATTAAATATTACACACTTTCCGGAAATAAGTGGTTTTCGACACTTGATTTGAAAAATAGATATTGGCAGGTAGAGCGGTATATTGATGACCGAGGGGTTAAGCCTTTTACTAAGAGATTTCCTAATTATCTGGTATTTTGGAGTTTCTACTGAGTATAACTTGTTATCTCACTAAAGGAAGGTTTCGGAATAGTTTCAGCGACGTTCAGGGCATGAGAGTCATCATGTGGTTGATCTTCAGCTTGGGAGGGGATTATCCTATCACAGAACTTTCTTTTAAGGTTAGAAGTATTTTTCGGGCATTTTCTGAAATTCATGGCGGGAAATTCTGTACAACGAGTGAGATTTTACCAGTTATAATAAGGGAGTTTTTAAATCCACTTTGATTCATAATCAGAACTTTTGTGAGACAAGAAACACTTCACATATCTGGGTGCTCAAATAAATGGTAAAATTACTGGTGGTTATGGCGGTGGGTTAAAACGCTTTTGAATATATATGCATCCGCAAAGTTAACAGAACACATTAATTGCTTGATATTATAAATGCGCTGAGATCCCGGCTCATTAACTAAATGAACCTGGAAAGGATTTATTGGACTCTGATTGAAATCCATACATTGGACAAACCTGTAATAACGTTAAATCCTTCATTTAACAATTCCTGTTTAACGTCATCAACTGGGCTGTCCAAAGGAACACCTTAGAGAATAATTTAACAAACCGAGAGAACAACTATTAATACACAATGTTTAATAATGAATACCCAATGCTTTTATATCATATGTTATAATCTTACTTGTTACGAAAACACATCCTAAATATTATAATAATCATTCCTTCACTTATTAATCACTTTATTGATAACCTTAAATACTCAATTCAAGGATCACGTACACAGAGGCTCTCAGCCATTTTCTAAACCTCCTCTCTACCGCTTTCCGCTAGGGAATCCAGCTGCTATCTGAGCAAGTACAAACATGGCTGTTTAAATACTTAAATGCTGTTACTCTGTTACTGAATACACTTTATAGTGCACATCTTTAGAATGCCTATCATTAGGATTACATTTATTTCTAAAAGAATATTTTTAGAATCTAGCGATTCAGAATTTAATGCAAGACTATTTGCCGTCCAATTGGTGTGGTGGCCGATTTCTAACTGTTTATACTCCGTGGCAACCTTGACTTCGTGGTCCTCTGTCCCTTCATAGGAGGCAGTGGCCAACTATTATGTGCTTCCATAAAAAAATGCCACCACTTTCGGCCCTTGGACTGGCGCAAGGATAATGACTATTAAATAAAGAGCGTCGCCAGTAAAAAAATGAAGGACCATTTTGCTGGAGTGTAGTTTTGAAAATATAATGACTTTCGACTGGCAACACTTTTTTTAGTCTTATGCCGGCTTTTCAGTCAGGGAAGTAACTCCTGAACTCAACTCAATGTAACATTTTTTGTTTGGCTGTTTACGGAGAACGTTCGTAATTGGTACTGGTGTACATGTGATTTTTCTCTTAAGAGTATACATTATCAGTTGTAAAATGTCTATTTCATCGGATGTATTAGAATTAGATGGTGGTGAAGAATTCCAAGTTGACGAGGAAGGAGATCGTAAGTCTTTTATAGGCATTTGTTTTTGATTGAAGTGTTCTGAAAAACTGATTGACATAATTTATTATAGTTATAAATGATTTTACCCTTTTAATAGTCATAAAATGCTGTCTATTAAATACATAATTTAACATTTAATCTTAATTACTCATCAGATTTTCATTCCGGACAATGTTTTTGTAACATTGAAATATTATGCACGCGTTTGAAAAAAATTAAGTTTGAAAGAATGGTATTGTAAAATGTTGATCATACTTTTGACATTACACTGTTTTATGTAGTTAGAATACTAGAAATTGATTTATAAATAAATCAGTATTGAGAAAGCAGATTATGTCATAATAGTATTTTGTGTAGCAGACAGATTTTTGAAGATTCCCAAGATCACAGTGCTCGATGAATAATTTCATTTTCTGAAAATGTCAATGAAGTGTTGCATGTTTATGTGTTTTTTCCACCATCCTAATTAAACACACAACTTACTGATTTTCTTAATTAGGTCTCTTGTATAGCTATTAATTCCTAAAGTAAATTTATAGTGTGTGGGCTGAGGTTCAGTATAAATTGAATTGCTGTCATACTTTATTCTCTGGAACTAAATTATGGCCACTAAATGCATGTCTGTAATATAGATGCTAATTCTCCCAGATTTTCATCACATTCTTCGTTTTGATGTGGCTCACGACTTAAAGGCAAAATTTTTTTCGTGATGATAAGCGTGCCAACACTGACAGTCTTTCTGAAGTAGTGGAGCAACTGAAGTATGCTGGGTTGGTAAAGAAGAAATTTGGCAAGTTCATGCAGATGCACTGTTAATGTTTTTAAATTTGGGAATTTCATTTAATGAATGCTGCTACAAGTTGTTTAATGATAGACTTTTTTTTTTAATTTTTAATTTTTTAAACAAATTGGAGAAAAGAGGTATTTAAAACAGTATCACAATTTGATTTGAATTTGACTGATGATCAGTTACCATTCTTATTCTTTAAGGCAGTGATTCTCAACCGGTGGTACACAAGAGAAAAATATATGTCACGCAAAGAAACAAAGTCAAATTGTCTAAAAGTAGGTTAAATTCAAATTCAAAGTCTAAATTCAAAATTAAATACCCCAACATCCAATTTAAGTGTTTTCTGTAACATTTGTAAATTTATGCGATCTGAGCTTTTTTGAAGGTCAATAGCCGATTAGGCATTAGCAAAATAATCTGTTTTTATTTTCACCAATATTCTTTTAGCCATAGCCATAACAAAATTTGTCATAAGTGTCTTTTTTAAAAGAAGTTATGTTGTATTTAATAGAAAATATGTTTATTTCCTATTAAATCCGATATCCATTTAAAACATATAAAAAGACATTAATTCTTTTAGAGTTGATTGAATTATTAGCATGTATATATTTATTCGCCACCATTTCCAGACTCGTATTGCTCTATATTCAGTTAGAATCATTTTTTTTACGTCGGTTTGCTTTCTCTAATTGCAGGTATTTTGTCTTCTTGCTGCTTTAAATTTCTTAATCTTCTATGTGATTTGAGAATATTGGTATTTGTTTTTGAAGAACTCGTAATATATTGTGTATTTAAATATTTATGAAAAAGTAAAAAAACAAACCTAGATTTTCAAAATGGAAAAGTAGCTAGGATTGAGTAAGCAGAAAAGTGATGATTCACAGGTGATGGAACCAGGACAGTTTACTAGCACTAAGAATATCATAAAGAAAAGAAAAATTGTTTATAGAAAATATAATGAAAGTTCTTTATCATATGGGTTTACTTGGGATCGAGATGAAATGGACCCTAAATCTCAGTGTGTTGTTCACCTTGTGGTGAACTATTATCCATTCAAAGTATGAAACTATCGTTTCTTAAAAGACATCTTGGATCTAAGTATGCCAGTTTAAAGGAAAAATCTGAAGAATATTTTAAGAGGAAATTATGTGAACTCAAAAACAGTTTACAAGTAATGAAAGGTTTTTATTACTTCGAGTGAAAAAGCTTTGGAAGCTAGTTACCTAGTAACTTAAGAATTGCCAAGAGGCAGGCTCACTCTGTTAGAGAAAACCTTATATTGCCAGCACCTAAAGATATCATTTTAACAATATTCAACGAAAAAGCAGCTAAATGAACTTAATAATATTCGGTTGATCTTTATATTATGGTAACTTGGCGTTTTTTTTGCGAAAATTTGGCGACCAACTCTCCTACAGCAACCCTCTATTTTTTTTTCCCGCCGCCGTTTTGTCTTCATGAAGTAAAGACATGTTTCTTTTTTTTTTTATCTACTGAACACTTCTTCCAACAATCTACTAGCCGAATTACACTTATGCTAGAAATTTTATCTAACAAAAACTGCTTAATCATGACAAATATTCACTGCAAAAATTGGGAAAAAGTGCACAATACCATACTCCTTACACGTTTTTCAAAATAACACATACACATAAACCATGTACACGCGCCGCCGACTTATTTTTACTTAAAAAAACATCCCAGAATTGCACAAAAATGGCATTGCGCACACTCTTCACTATATCCATGTACACTGCTTTTTTCTCATAAATTAGAAAAATTTCACGAAAATACATCACAATTTTCTCAATCTTTAAACCGGTAAAAAGAAAAAAACATATATGAAATTACCTGATCGCGAAAAAGTTTATACCCTTTCCAAATATGAACATTTCCACATATAAAATAAATAAAATATCCAAAAACTTTTACCTCTAAATCATCTATTACATATACAACGTCACCAACGAATTCATACCGCAAGCATTACAAATACTTAGTATCAAATATTTAAATTATTTCCATGCACGTTTACTTCAACTTAAACATTGTACCAAATTCCTACAAACTAATAAAATTCACAAAATAACTATAATTTAATTAAACTATCATAAAACTAAACCATGTACACGCCGACTTATTTTTACTTAAAAAAACATCCCAGAATTGCACAAAAATGGCATTGCGCACACTCTTCACTATATCCATGTACACTGCTTTTTTCTCATAAATTAGAAAAATTTCACGAAAATACATGACAATTTTCTCAATCTTTAAACCGGTAAAAAGAACATATAGAACATATATGAAATTACCTGATCGCCGAAAAAAGTATTTACCCTTTCCAAATATGAACATTTCCACATATAAAATAAATAAAATATCCAAAAACTTTACCTCTAAATCATCTATTACATTATACAACGTCACCAACGAATTCATACCGCGAAGCCATTACAAATACTTATTGTATCAATATTTAAATTATTTCCATGCACGTTTACTTCAACTAAAACGTATACCAAATTCCTACAAACATATAAAAATTCACAAAAATAACTATCATTTAATTAAAATATAATTAAATTCAAAAACACTACTTAAAATATAAATGAGCACATACATTAAATTAATACATACATAAATACCCATTTCGAATTTCACTTTAGTTACGGCCATGGGATCCAAAAATTCACAAACACTGTTTCACACAACACAGAATAAAGCCAAATACAAAATTTCCAGCTTTTTTCCCGATTTCCCCCATTTTCCGATTAAAGAACCGTAATTCGTCCATTAATATCACATGACATATCCCATGATCTCTCATTTCCCTCATGCAAAATAATGCGTAATCGGAACTGAGTACTGCTCACATGATTACCAAAGTGCCAGGTAGTAACCTTTATTGCCTCCAAAATGTCGCCAAACTACCAGTTACCATATTGTAAAGATCAACCCAAAAGTGCTTAATTATGACGAAGATAAGGTGCGAAATTGGGAGAAAGTGCAGAATAGCCCACTGCTTGCCACGTTTTTAAGAATTGCACATACGCGTTATCCATGTACACATCGACCTATTTTCACTTACAAAAACATCCCAGAATTGCACAAAAATGGCATTGCACTCATTCTTGACTTTATCCATGTACACTGCTAAAGTAAAAGCTAGTAACCTTTATCGCCTTACCAAAATGTCGCCAAACTACTTGTTACCATATTCCAAAGATTAGCCCACTTTTGTTCCATAAAAGTTCTAGTATAAGCGTAATTCGGCTAGCAGATTGTTGGAAAAAATGTTCAGAGGGGGGGAAAAAAAAAAGCCTTTACTTCGTGAACAAAATGGCGTCCAAAACAAAACTAGCAGGTTGCTGTAGCAGGGTTGGTTGCCAAAGTTTCGCCAAAAAATCGCCAAGTTACCATAATCCAAAGATTAACCAATAAATGAATTGCTGAAGAGTATTTATTTTGTGAATATCATCATGACAGAGCAACTGTAAATGAAATTTTCAAAGTAATTAACAATTTTATGTCTGAAGAATTCCATGGAATAAGTACATTGCCATATGTAGCGATGGAGCTTGGGCTAACGGGAAATCATTCCCGTGTTATTTCTGAAATAAAGAAAGTTGCACCTGAAACTAAATTTACTCACTGCTCCATTTACTGTGAAGCATTAGTAGCCAAAACAATCCCCCAAAATCTGAAAATTGTTTTGAAGCAAGCTGTGAAAATTCTTAATTTAAATTGAAAGTCGAGCTTTAAATCCAAAAACATTTATGATTTTATGCCAAGAAGAGGGCAGTGAATATGAAACATTTTTGTTGTATTTCGAAGTAAAGTGCTTATTCAAAGTTTTAGATCATCTTTTTGAACTTTGATCAGAAATTCAAATTTTCCTCTGTGATTCAAAATTTGAATCACAGAGGTCACAAAATCACAATTTTGAATTTTGACAAATTTGAATCACAAAAGTGTTTATTTGGTTAATTATGGTTATTGCATTGAAAAAATTTTCCAAAATTCTTCAAAATTTGAATTGCCAAACTGTTTATTTAGTGAATTATGGTTGGCATACTTAGCTGACATTTTTGGAAAGTTGTAAGGAACTTCATTTTTGGAAAGTTGTATTAAAGTAATTTAATACAAAGTGTTAATTTGTTTACTATTACAGATAAAATAAATTCAATCGCAAGAAAACTTGAGCTAA